GTAGTCGAAGTAGAAGTAACGGCGACAGTATCTGAAGTGAGACTAGAGCAGAGTGTCCGCTCTAGCCCGAGCCGTAGTCGAGATATCAGGGTAGAGTATCATGAGGCGCGACTAGAGCAGAGTGTCCGCTCTAGCCGTAGTCGAAGTCGTAGGAACGGCGACAGTATCTTGAGATGAGACTAGAGCAGAGTGTCCGCTCTAGCCCGAGCCGTAGTCAAAGTATGAGGTAGAGTATCATGAGGCGCGACTAGAGCAGAGTGTCCGCTCTAGCCGTAGTCGAAGTCGTAGGAACGGCGACAGTATCTTGAGATGAGACTAGAGCAGAGTGTCCGCTCTAGCCGTAGTCGAAGTAGAAGTAACGGCGACAGTATCTTGAGGTGAGACTAGAGCAGAGTGTCCGCTCTAGCCCGAGCCGTAGTCGAGATATCAGGTAGAGTATCATGAGGCGCGACTAGAGCAGAGTGTCCGCTCTAGCCGTAGTCGAAGTCGTAGGAACGGCGACAGTATCTTGAGATGAGACTAGAGCAGAGTGTCCGCTCTAGCCCGAGCCGTAGTCAAAGTATGAGGTAGAGTATCATGAGGCGCGACTAGAGCAGAGTGTCCGCTCTAGCCCGAGCCGTAGTCAAAGTATGAGGTAGAGTATCATGAGGCGCGACTAGAGCAGAGTGTCCGCTCTAGCCGTAGTCGAAGTCGTAGTAACGGCGACAGTATCTTGAGATGAGACTAGAGCAGAGTGTCCGCTCTAGCCCGTCCGGTCGAAGTGGAGTAGTCGTCATTATAGTAGAGCCGCAAGAAAGCTTAGATCTAAACCAGAGCAGAGTCCCAGTCCTGGATTACTTCGTCGTCGAAGATAATTGAAGTACAGCCGCGTTGTAAACGGAGGGCAACGCGAGCACATCTCTTTCCTACCGCCAGTTGAAAGCCCGATGGTTGTCGGCGTTAACCAGGAAGAAAAAGAATGCTCTAGCCCACGCCGGTGTCCGATGAGATGGCGAACAAGCAAGAAAACAGACCAGAGCAGAGTGCCTGCTCTGGCCCGCATCGTCGAACGCGACCAAGTTGACGAAGCAGGTGAGTCGGACTTGTCACGCTCGCGCGCGTCGGCTTCTTCCGAATTGTCACGTGAGCTCGGACCAGACGTTCGGCCAGCGATACGCTCTGTCTGTCTCTCTCTCCTTTCGCGCAAGCTGTAGCGGGCACTCTGCTACAGTTTCCTCAAGAGCGCATCTCAAGACCTCCGGGATATAGACCCACTCGTCCATAGTGCGCCCAGGATCGCGCTGCTCCGCGTCGTCTCGTCAAGACTGCTCGCTATAGACCACACTCGTCTATAGTGCGCTCGGGACCCTGCTTTGACGCGTCGTCTCGTCAAGACTGCTCGCTATAGACCACACTCGTCTATAGTGCGTTCGGGACTCTGCTTTGCTGCGTCGTGTCATCAAGACTCCTCGCTATAGACCACACTCGTCTATAGTGCCTTCGCGGATTGCGGTCCGTTTCCCTTCGACGTCAAGACCCATTGCCTGTCCACAGCACTCCTCGGCGGTTTGTTCCTTGGGATTTAGGACTTTCTGGACCTGCAAGACCTGGATTGTCTGGCTGCAAACGTCGGTCGTTTACAGCGGGCTCGCTCTCCTTTCGTTGGACAAGGTTGATCTCGTTCGCACATCAATCTTTCTGCGCCCCACTCGGGTAGTCCTTCCCAGTCGGCCATTAGTGCTCGCTTCTACAGTAAGTGTTGCGCGTTTCTGCAGAAATATGCCTTCCTCACTGAGTCCCCCCTTTGCCAGCTCGCCCTCCCGTCTTCGTTCTTTTGGCGGGCTGATCTTTCCTCATCCTCACTTAGTCTTTTCTCGCGCCGAGTACGTCGTGTTATCTCCATGCTTTTTGCTACGAACTCACACCCTTCCCCTCAGCTCGCCCTCCCGTTCGCTCTGTGCGGTCCTTTATTCCCCTTCCCTAGCTTCGTCTTCGATTGCGGTGAGTCTCCTCTTCTCAAGCTATATGGGCGACAGACTCATGCCATCCCGCAGCCCATGCCTTACGTCGGTGAAGACACCATCCTCAGATTTCAGGACGCGTTCGGCCGCGATGACCAATCGCTCCGCCGAGTCTACGCATCCTCCTTGAGGAGTCTCTACCCCCACCTTTTTTTCACTTACGAGCCCAGGCCCCACAACATATTTGTCACAGAGTCCGGCCAAGTCTTCACCTCGCCTTCCTCCACCTATCTGCCTCCTATACCCCGCCGTCTATCAGACGAAAACATTCCTACCGTGCAAGGGTTAGGGGTTAGGGTTAGGGTTAGGGAGGCACTCGACGACGAGCGCAGCGAGTCGGAGAGTGACTAGAGTTAGCGAAACTAGCAGACAACGGGCTAGTTCTCTGGGGAACTAAGCCTCTACCCGTTTCGCATTTTATGCTCTTCAGGTCTGCGTAGTATTTTGAAATTTGACGGGCCGCTAAGTCAGTATGCACGACTAAGCGGAAGTACTTCCCGTAGCTCCGAGCCGATGCCATCGGCTGCCGAGCAGCCGAGGAACAATGGCCCTACCTTTCTGGGACATTTCAAATTACGGAGAAACTTTACCTCTGTAATTCTTCGAAAGGGATTGGTTGTTCTAAATAAAACCTTGTACGCGTCAGCGATACTGTACGAACGGCATACCGGCACGGTTAAGTTCCGGGTTCATGTGATATCGGCTTGCCATGCCGACTCCGAGGTTTCCCCTTGCCGGGAACCACATGATGATGCCGCCAAAGTATTCTTTGATTGATGATGTCACCCGCCCCGCGAACCACGGAGCCCGCAATAGCCGATCA